GCCGCGCCGGGCCCCCCCCGCCAGCTCTGCTGCCCGCAGAGGCAAGGCCAGGCAGCCTTCGCTCTCGCTTCCCCGTCGCTCCCTGTTCCCAGCTGTCCTGCTCCGGCCCCTCTTGCCGGGCTCTTTGCTGAGGCAGCTCTCAGACCTAACTTGGCAAAAAAGTTTCCTGAGGTGAGCTCGGTGAGCTGTATGCGTCGGCTCAGGGATGGGTCTGACTGCCGTAAGTACGGAGGCAGCACGGGGAGTGTAAGTGGAAGAGCAAGTCGGCTGGGGGATAGTTACAGCTGAGCCTACCTCAACGGCTATTACGTTATGGCTAAGAGACTTTTCTGCAGATAGGCTGCCTGTCTTCTAAGCTATTTGCCTTGGACTTGTTTTAAATGAGCTCAGAGCCTTTGCCTCTATGCTGGTGTGTAGTCCATGCTTGCTGGTGCAATGTTATTCTCCACAGTGCCAGAGATGCCCTAGATCTCACCTGGAGATTTGCTCACTGCTGAACTGAGGACTTTGGGCAGGTTGTGCTCTAAGCTCAGAATTGGATTCAACTTACGCAGCTGTCCCAGAAGCACTGGCTTCTCAACCAGACGTGTAAGCACATAAGCGTCTTCCAAGCAGGCAGCTGCTCTGTGGAGCTTTGAGGATCTCAGGTTGCAATTTGGGGACCAATATCTCTGCAGATGTGTGTGCACCGCTTGCAGCATCCCAGCTCTGTGCTGAAGCAAGACAGGGACATACTGTTCCTTGACTTACTAGTTTCCCTGGGCAGAGGACATGGGCTCAGAGGCCAGAAAAGAGCCATGGCATAGAAAAGGAGAAACCAGGTGGAAAATTAGGGACCAGGACTGCAAGGAGGGCCAAAGTGCTTGCAGAAGTAGGGATAGAACCTTTGTAGCTCTGTTTGTAAAAGCTCTCAAGGCTGCAGTGCTGTTTGAGAGCAGAATGAAGCCAGCAGCTTGCGCAGAGCCCTGGGAATACAGCTGGAGTTACTTGTGGAGAAAGGGTATGATGTAAACTAGCGCTTAGAGACTGATGAACTGAACAAGAATAGGTAACAGCATTTAACCCGGCAAGTAATCTAAGAGACAGCATGTAGAACTAGTCTATTAACCCAGCTGGTAAGTGGCCAGCAGATAGAGGAGTCCATGGGTGTTAATGGAAGGGTGTATCTCTAGGGGAGGACTCAGGGGCTGGACTCAGATCAGGTGGTGAACTCAAAGTGTCCTCCCTGCTGGAGTTTGCTCAGGGCAGTGGTGAATTTACAGGCGTTGAGTTTCAGTTGTCCCTGAGGTGGTAGATACTGAATGTTCTGGTTGAGGAGCTCAAAACCATTTTTTATCTCCCTCTAAGGGAAGAAAAAGAAAGACCCTTGGCCCCAAAACAGCCAAGACCTTTCTCGGGTCAGTCTTAAATTCTTACCTCTACCAGCAGCTGCTTCTCAAGCCCTAAGGATTTCACTGAGCCAATTTAATGCTGGTGGTCAGACAGTTTAAACCCATTAGCTCCCAGCTATCTGAATAATTTTGTCCTCAGGTCCCAGCACACTGGCAGACTGCTCTAACCAGAATTGCGGAGAGCTGCCACATTAACTGGACATTTGCTAACTGTTGTAGGCTGCGTGGTGAGCATTTGAGGGCTGAAGAAAATGCCACTGGCTAGATCACTGTCCATGACTTCGCTTAATGGGCTTCCTCAGTGGGAGGATGAAGACCTACCAGTGGAGGATTTGTTGCTCTTTGAAGTTTCTTGGGAAGTTACCAACAAAGGTTTGTACAACACTTTTAGGAGTTAGTATCGCTGTTTTCACGGGAGCAGAGGGAGGCATGAAGGGTTTGGACAAGAAAGGCATTAAGGGGAGAATGGGGAAAAGTGGGCTGCAGAGCTGTTATATTGGAAGGAGTGCATGTGGCATCTGTGTGTCATTGTGCATGCTGTGTGTGGGCTTCATCTAACTGTGCTTGTGTGGGACTGAGTGTGTAGTCAGGATGTCTGTGTGTCTTTACTTGTCTCACCACCAGGGATAGGATGTTTAAACAAACATCTAAGTGTTATGCCTGGGTGTGCAGATGTAGGGATGTATAGATGTTGCTTGGTACAGATTTATATTTTATCTTCCATGCAAATTCACTTGGGAGTGTAATGCATGAAAATGAGCTGTAAACCAGATGTTAGAGTAGTTTAGCAGACTCCCTCAGCCCTGTAGAGCAGTGTGGAGAAGAGGCCAAATTTGAAACAGGTATAAATAAACATAGCTGCATTGAAGCCGCTGAACAAAAAACAAATGTCAATGACCAGCAGTCTTTATGCCAGCTGAAACCCTTTTGGACTGGTCTTTGCAAACACAGGTGGTGCCAGACAGGGACTTTGTGCATATGTACAGATTGAAAATCTGTTCACTGCATGCTGCTTGTAATGCAAACATCTTTCTGCCTTCGTTTCTCATTCACTCATCAAATCCTCACCTTTCAGCTAGGTGTAGCTCATGAAGGGGGAATGGGCTCCATTTTTGCCACAAAAGTGAGTTTATACGAGTAAATGACCTTATGTGTCTTATTGCCCTGGCAGATAAATAGATTAGTCAGGAGAGGGGATCTGTAATCTTCTAAGATTTTAACTCTAAATGGGAAAAGTGTGGCAGAGGAACAGACAGCACTCGAGTTTGTGGTGAAACTGGAATTACTATTCTGTGATAGCTGCTGGTATTTAATCTGCACTGCACTGCAATTTTACATTGCCCTTTTTAGAGTGGTGAGGAGTATCAATACACAGAGGTAGTACAAAGTAGCTTTTGCACTTCAGATCCCTGCGGGCTTATTTTTCGGTAGCTTCAGTGAAGCTTTTTGAGTGAATTTACTACTGTCAGAACTTGGAGAATGCATTTAGTTTTGCAGTGTGCATGATAAATAAGGCATTGGCAAGCAGATGGCAGCAGAAATCTAGCAAATTCAGGTGTTCTCACTAACGTCTCTGAACTCCATAGTATATATATTTTCTGAGTCATCTGGACCCACTGGTTATGGATCTCGCACAATATGTTTAAGAAAAAATATAACACAATTAGTTTTATTTGCCTTTCTGTGTATGTGCAAAATGCAGCGAATCATTTACGAATCCATACAGCTCTTGTTGACTTCACTGAAGCCAAATCAACTGACACAGCTCAAATTTATTATCCTCACATTTTATGAGAGGATTAATATTAATTAGAGTGAATATTTATTCAGTTAGTTTAAAAATAAGGTGCTGTTAATTACACCAGTTACCAAACCCGTATATTCAAACAGGGCTGTCTGACCTAGTCATGGCAAACGATTCCTTCATTAGAACCACATCTCTGTGCAAAGTTTCCATTAACTAACCTTGACTGGAAGCATTTGTGCAAAAACTCTTTAATAAGCCTATCTCACCATATTTTTTTCTGGAAAATTCTTGATGCTAATTTTTTTTTTCTGTATCTTCCAGACAATTGAATGTGTAAGTCATGTGGTGAGATACTGTTCCCTGGTGATCTAACTTTTATAAGCAGTTCTGGGAAAACGTTAGGGCAGTGTGTTTCTTAGGAGAGAGAGTAGCCAATAAAATACACAGAGAGTCATCATAGAAGATACATAGGCTTAGGAAATAATAGCTTACACTATATTTTTCGTGCCTCTTTTAGCAGAGGAAGAGCTCTTTATTTGACTAAGTAGGCTGTCCCCACGTAGATTTAGTGGTGCTACATGTTTTAGTGTTTTAATGTTGCTGTATATATTCTGAATATAGAGGGAAAGGTAAACATTAGTTGGATTTATTGTCTGACAAGCTAACTTTGAGCATTTAACACGAAGGTTTCTTTCTTACTGCTAGAGCGGTGCAAAACTGCTGTTGCCTACAGGAGAGAGTTGAAGGCTTTGTGTTAACTTTGTGTGTATTACTAGGTGCTCGGCTATGGGTTCATTTCCTCCTTGACCCGCGCTGCTGCTTAGTGGTGGTTCCTCCATTTCTCCGTGATGGTGTCAATAAGGCTGAATGTCTTCTTCCCTGTGAGGACCATACTTCCAGTGCTCACAGATGGCTATCTATTTCCACACCTGTAAACAGCACACTTTACAAGTGCTGAGCTGTTTTCTCAGCCTCTCAAATATGTTCTTCTTCAGAGTCTGAGGATGACAAAGGGGTCCTTCAAATTGGAGCACATCTGATCACGTATTGTGAGAGGATCTTCGTGTGCCAGGCTGCCCATGGGGAGCAAGTGTTTACTGGGATTTCCCTGAGCAGGAGATATGCTGTTTGGTACCGAGGCACAGAGTCTCATCACTTCTTTCTGAGCGGCTGGCACAGTGGAGGTGTCTTGCCTTTTTTTTTGTTTGTTTGTTTTTGTTAAATCTTAATCGTTTTAACACATGCTCTAACTAGGCAGAGTTTTCTACTTCTTTTTATGTTCTCTCTCCTGGCTGCTGCCTGTGTGAAGTGGCAATCTCTGACATACATGTTGGAAAGCACCAGCAACTCTTTTTTTCTCCTTTTCTCTATCTGGAGCAAGGAAAGATAAGGTAGCTGAAGGAGAGAAAGAGAAATTAAAAAGGCTCGTTTGCCAGTGTCAGTCTCCCTGTGAAAAGGAATTTGCCACCTAAACCAAGCACAGCATTGAAATCATCTTACATTGAAATACCCCTGCTAAAGAAATGGGAAAAATGTAGTTTGTTTTGAAAGATTTTCCTCACTTTATTTGACTCTTCACTGATGGGCAAGACCCATATTGTGGAGTAGATCTACGGTGTTTCTGTGGCAGAAGGGGAAAAAGCAAGCAGGCAAGGGCCCCAGTGCACTGCAGTGCCACATGATCTGGTGGTAATCTTGGGGAAACTCAGCATTTTTCATGCTTCCCCTTCTCTCCTGGCCACTGTGGTTCAGTAAAGCCAGGTCTGGTCATATCTCTGTGCATATTGGAAAGGAAGACTGGTTTTCTTTCCCCCATAACATGAAGACCAGTAAAAACTTAAAGGACAAGAGCACAAACCAAGTGTCTACAAGCTATGTAGGTCCTGTGTCTGAAGCCCCACAGATGGAAATTGTCAACAGCAATCAGCCAAAGGCCATTGCAAGAGTAATGGCAGAAGTCCTGTACCTTTTTCCCACTGAAAAATTAAGTATTTAATCTGCATATGGGGGAGAAGTCTAATTCTCGAAGTTACAGTAACAGTTAGCTGTAGTTTAGGGGGTTTTCTGATATGTTAATGTGAAGGACTGAGAATGTTCAAGATCTGGTCTGTGCTCTATAAAGATGTCTTTAAAATCATTCCAGTAATATTTAGATTAGTATCTCTTGCCGTAACACTAACAGCTTTTAGATAGAAAATAGAAGAATGCTTATAAATGCTAGGCAAACAGCCAGTTTATATCAACCGTGAACAGATTAGCTTAAGAGTCACTGGTAGCTGAATCCTAAATATTTTTTCCATCCCTATTGGAATGAAGACTCTGCTAAAAGCAAACCTTGGTCCAGTTCTCCCTGAAGCAGAGCTCTATGTACAGTTTCTCTAGTGCAAATCGGGACTCTTGGAAGTTAAATCCTGAATCCACTGAAGTCAGTAGGACCAGCATTTCACCCCCTCTGCATTAAATGTCCTTCCATGATGAAAGTTCCTTGGGAGAAGGTGAGTGACGTAACCTGTGACACACCTGAACTAACATACTTTGGGGAGCGGGGATGTGCTGGCATAAACTTAGCATAAGCACAGTGTGAAAGCCCTGGGCATTTCTAGAGTGGGGTGGTATGTCAGTGTCAAATCAATCTCAAATGAAATCGTGTTCATTGGGGGTGATGCACACAGAAATAGCTTCTGTATTGTGGGCATCTGTCATAAATTTCAGTATTTTTTCAGAGTATGTTTGGAATGCCAGAATTTCACAGAATTTAGAGAACTTCTGTCTTCTGATGAGTCCTGACCACAAATATAGCAAAAAATACATGAAAAACATCTGCTATCTGAAGATGATGGGTTTTTTTCACCTGACATATTTTACAACCTTACTCTAAAAATGGTCCCCAAATATCTCAACAGTCAATCAATAAATAAATAAAATTCCATCCAAACATTAGAAAAAAATAAGTTCTAGCTCAATTTTATCACATCTCTATAGATCAGAGATACATTCTGAGGGGAAGAGGTGAAAGCATAGTTGATGTAACTAGTAACTGTGGCAGTGAAGACAATTTGAATCCAGAGCCTGGGATCCCACTGCTCTCTTGGATTCCATGGCAGCCGTGGTCCTCAGGTAAGCTTTAGTACTTTCTGAGTGGCCTGGACGGGCCGTAGCAAAGAAGCTGAAGAGCCCTGGGAGCACCCTGATCCTTTGTCTCTGTGTAGCAGAGGAGTGTGGGGAAGGGCTCCTGCACTGATCAGTGACAGTCTCCGCTCATCTGTGTCTCATTTGCATAGCTTTGCTTCCTATCGCTCTCCTTCCTTTTTGGTGTCTGCTGCTCCTTCCTTCTGTCCTTCTGCAGTATGGGCTGGGTGGGAGAGCAAGTACAATGACTGGTGGGTATCTCTGGCAGTTTTGAGCAGTTTTGGCAACTCCATGCTCAGAGGGCCGCACCTCCAGAAGACATTTTATGTCAGCACAGTTTCTGGGTAATCCTGGAAGTTGTGGACCCTTCCTCATCAGGTGACAAAAAGCATTGGCAGTGCATCTTTCCGTATAACAGCTTGCAGCAGAAAGAGCACATCTACAGATTGGATCTTGCATAAAGATCTCTAGTTGCACAGTTAGATCTCCACTTCTGCCTAATTTTGTCCTCAGTGGTGATACGGTATTTGGAGACTATTCTTGACTCACAGAATTTTTATTTATTTAGGTAGTTCTGATGTCTGTCCTGGAGGGCTCTTAATTGCTGCTTGGATTTTAAATATACAAAAAAAAATAACGTACCAGAACATGAAATGAGGAAAGAAGAAAATAGCTGGAGTGATGTAGATAACTTCTTTAGACAAATTCATAATAGGGGTAATATGTATAAAAACATTCATACTTTAAAAAACAATTCTATGAAATATTTTCAGAGAGGTTATTTTGTTTTCATCTTCCATTTCTTAAAGAAATCACACCAAAAAAAAGTCAAACTTCTCTTAAATGAACAAAATGCTTCTTTCCCGAACATTTTATTTCCTCTTTCCATGCCAGCTTATTTTTCCCTGGAAAAAAAAAGGAAAAATGGAAAGGAAATAAATGGGGGAAAAGACTTGTTGTTGATTTCCTTTATTCTGATGGAAAAGTTAAAAACACATTTTAAAAAGAAATAATAGAAATATTTTTCCCTCAAGGACATTAAAAAATTATTAGAACTTAAAATATTGGATTAAAGCATTTTGGTGGAGATCAGAACATTAAATAGCCCTGTATCCACGTTTTACTGCTCATTCCCCATGTTTGCGATGATCTGATCCGATTCTCTGGATCTGACCTCTCCCGATTCTGCATCTATTTCTCATTTTGTCTTTTATTGTTTGTTGTAAAACCTATTACAAAGTACAAAACTTCATAGGCTGCATACAGAAACTTGCAACATCATGGGATTTTGGTACATCCCTGTTGTTTAGAAAGGTTTTCTGTTCATAATATGACCTTAAAACAGAGTATCATAGAAGAATAAGGAGGCTTGCCAAATTTTTGGGAGTAATTTGAGAATTCTTCTAGGCTCCAAGTGAATATGTAAACCCTTACTCTGTTACTCAGTAGGATATGCAATGCATTTGCTTACTGGCAGAGGTATTTCCAGGCAATTCAAAGTAACTGAGCACATATAAGCTATCTCTTAATGATACATAAGTTGTTCCTTGAATTTGCTATGGAAAAGTGTAATTTCAAAAGTCAATGCATTATTTTAGACATCGCTCTGTTTTTCTCAGGATGTCTTCTTTAAGTTATGCCCAACACTTTCTGCATAGTTTCACTTGCACACTTTCCCTCTCCTGTCAATTAAAGCTTATGCAAAGACATGCTTTGTGAGTCATATTTTCACAGTAACGGAGAAGACAAAAGCAAGTTTTAGGACAAGGTAACCCAGAGCTTTTATCACAGCTATGTTCTGAAGAGTTTTCACGATCTGTAAAATGTACTTTTTTGGTTTTATCCTAAGTGCTTTTCATTGCATTTCGGGCAGATCAGTGCCCTGAAATGATTTTTAACTTGCTGTGCAACAGGTTATGATGGCAGAGCACAGCATACTCTCCACTTTTTTGCAGAATGGGCATTCCATATGTCTTTGGCGGGACAAGCTTTAGGACACACAGCGATCCTAAGCAAAACCTTGTGAACAGACACCTCGGCTGTTGGCTATACAAACGAAGTTCCAGGCTGTATTCAGCTCTTAAGCTTCAGCTTTCTTATTAATCTTAAAATTAATAGCTGTGGAAACTCAGCTGCCTTGCTGACCCCAGTGTTGAACGCCTGGCAGTGTGAAAGAGGCTGATCTCCACTCTTGTGATATTGGAGAAAGAGCTTTGCACCACTCTAATCATATGCAGCTTTATCTCATTATTCAGTATCTTTCATCTTGCAAGTAGATGTTTTCTCGTTTCCCAGGGTCACCGGGCTGCTTTGCGCAAAAACCTTTCACAGAATCACAGAATGTTTGGGGTTGGAAGGGACCTCTGTGGGTCATCTAGTCCAACTCCCCTGCCGAAGCAGGGTAACCCAGAGCAGGCTGCACAGGACCTTGTCCAGGCGGGGCTTGAATATCTCCAGAGAAGGAGACTCCACAACTTCCCTGGACAGCCGGTTCCAGTGTAAGTTCAGTATTTCTGCCAGTTAAAACCAACTAGTTTCATGACTAAGATTTCTACCAAGCCACTTCTTTATCCGTATTGGACTGCAGTGCCTTATGCTCATATGATGTACTTACCACCCCATAAGAACATCGTGTGACAGAAAAGTGTCATTGTTACTGCATCACTTTATGGGTTGAACATTCTGACTTGTCTCATAACTAAAATTATATGTTTATCTAAGATATTCAAGTGGTCTCTCTCTTCTTGTGAGCAGGGGAAATTGGAGGGAATATATAGTGTCACTTATCTAAGGTTTCTATAAATCCCTGTCCAGAGCAGTCATGGTAGAATATGGTGACTATAATTTAGTTTCTTAGCTTTCTGGTCCTAATGAAGTGGAGAAGAGTAGCCTTATGCATAGATTTCCTTCTGCGGTTCCACATCTGTATGAGGTGAAACTCTTGAACTGTGAGCTTGATTTTGGAACATGTGCCTGTAAGATTCCATTCTTCTTAGGTCTTGAATTACTATGTAGAGTAATAATGTATTGTAATAATTCCACTTGGCAAGCTGGGAGATTGGAACTCCATTTGTTTTTCTTTGTAAAATACCTAGAATCCTGAGACATCTTGACATAAAAACAGTAGGGCTAGGGACCCCTCAAGCATTCAAAATAAATGGAATATTTCTAAAGAAAAGGATTGTAAGTGCACAATTTCTTTTCTAGGAGCACCATTAAAAACATAGCTCTGTCGTTCAGTTCCTCAGGGCTGCAAGATACCATGCTTGGCAGAAGGCTTTTTGCAGTTGTGAGATGATACAATTTAGTTAATCTGGGAACTAACCTCCCAAAGCTCTGAGCAACTTGGGTAACCTCTGAAGATTCTTGCCTTGTTCAGCTGGATGCAGTGCATTGGCATCTCTGGATGCCACAGTACCTTTTAAAAAGTAAGTCTGAAGTACGTGCTATCAATCACTGGCAGTTTGCAGTGCTGACTTCTTAGGTAGTTTTATGTCAATGCTGAAAGACATAGCACAGCCTTCTTGCCTGGAGTATTACCGAATGTTTTCGAATTCAGTGGAGGACGAAATTTTTAAGTAGGAACACCAATTCCCTTCCTGTTGCTTCTTTTGTTGTTTGCTTGCACCTGTTGAGCTTTATTTATTTTACCATGCTTTAAAATCACTGGAGCTATGCTAAACTTGTCTCTGATGTACAGCAGCTGCTTAGTCTCTGATTTCCTTTTCCCTTGCCTTCCCTTCCGGTTGCTGTAGTCAAGCACACTCTCTTCTTCCGAATTTGTGGTTGTGGAATGCCCACTGCCTGGCACCACGGGTCCTGTGGCAAAGGGAGATTTGCAAGGCTGCCCTGCCAATGCAGGAATTACAGGGCTGGCTATGGAAAACTGTGAGGAAAGCAGCCAAGTGAATCTTGCAGACCATGTGCAAGTCTAGATAGATCTGTACTGACTTGTCAGGGGATGTTGTCGCTTTCTCTTATACGTTTTATATTGTGTTTATTTTTAAAATGGACAATATTTTGGTGGAAGGTGCTGCAGATGTATATTGGCAGTGTAGTCTACGTTCCTTCCAACTTTAACAACCCTTTAGAATGATGATGGAACATGACACATTCTGCTTTGAGGATATTGTGTTAAATCCATTTTTATACTCAGTAGTCAATGAAATCCACCAGTCCCTCAGCTTCTGTCAGTGATTTGTGTAAAACAAACTGGAACTGCCAGCTCAGTTCTCAGCACATGTATTTCCACATGACAAAAAATATGTTTGAAAATTATAACTGGTGCAATAAAAAAGCAGAAAGCTGTACTTGGGATGCAGTAGAATCAAGATTAGGCATGGGAGAGTGGAAGCATGAGCCCCAGGATTTGAATCCCACAATCTGAATGTAAAGTTTTCAAGTCCAAAAAAGGCGGGAATAACATAAAGAATGAAATAATGTATTGGTTGAACATTTGTGGTGTGACTTTGAACACCTAAAAGAAATTTTAAAAAAGCACAGACTAGATAAAAATAACATTTAGGGATAGAAAGCATCCATTTGAGATTAGAGGAGAAATTGAGGGAAGCCGTATGCAGTCACTAGGGAGTAAGCAAGTGTTAAATTGTCATTTAAGAATTACACACGGTCTGCTACCAGGACATACTCCTAAATTGAACAGTGAAGCTCTGATCCTGTTTGAGACTGAACTTCTGTTTATTTGATAGAGTCTAGGTTTCACTTAAAATCTGAATACGTGAAATGATTTAACTAGAGGCGTATCTGATCCACCAGTGGGTTGGAGCTTATGCCAGAGCTTTGTGGCCTGTGCCCTTTTCTACATTTTGTTCTTTGTGATCTTCTTTTGCAGTGGGAGGCATTTACACTGTGATCCAGACAAAAGCCAAAATTACGGCAGATGAGTGGGGCGAAAACTATTTTCTCGTTGGCCCTTATTTTGAGCACAATGTGAAGACTCAGGTGGAAGCATGTGAGCCTCCAAACCCTGCAGTTAAGAAGGCGATGGACACCATGAAAAGCCAAGGGTGTCAGGTAAATAAGATGTGCTACTGCTTCCCAGGGCAACAAAGCTGACTGAGGAGATTACAGTTTTGGTTAATGCTCTTGCCGTTCCACTTGACACAGCAGTCCTGGTCAATGTCACAATGGGAAAGACTCTGAATCCACTGTTAGAACAGCAGTCAATTCATTAAAGGTTATTTTTGAGGAAGAGCTAGTTTATCCAATTACAGGTTTTAACAGTCATTTATCTGCAAGTCTACTTAATTGGATTAATGATGCAGTCTCTAAATACAGTGAGTTGTTAGTAGATATAATATGACATTACTTTGACTGAACCCTTGTGTTACATTTGGCGTTCTTGTGCTGGAGAGAGAAAAGCATTCCACTAGCTCACAAGTTTTCTTATGTAGCAGTACATAGGGTTGAAAGACAGAAAGGGACAAACTACAGGTGGACTTAAGAAAAGCACCCAACTGACGAAGAATCTGCTTCCTCAGATCAGTGCAACTAGCCATCTCTTCCCTAGGAAGAGAGGTTAAACCACAGCACAAGCAGTTCATCTGTATGTTTCTACACAATTCTTAACCAGCGTTTTCTGTGTGATCTCAGTCAAACCTCATAGCCTCTCTGTGACTGTGTTCAGCCCAGAGGGCCAACCGTATCCTGGGCTGCATCAAGAGAAGCGTGGCCAGCAGGTTGAGGGAGGTGATTCTGCCCCTTTACTCCGCTCTCGTGAGACCCTATCTGGAGTCCTGCGTCCAGCTCCGGAGCCCCCGACATAGGAAGGACATGGATGTGTTGGAGCGGGTCCAGAGGAGGGCCACGAAGATGATCCGAGGGCTGGAGTACCTCTCCTATGAGGACAGGCTAAGAAAGTTGGGGCTGTTGAGCCTGGAGAAGAGAAGGCTCCGGGATGACCTTATAGCAGCCTTCCAGTACCTGAAGCGGCCTACAGGAAGGATGGAGAGGGACTTTTCACAAGGGTGTGTAGTGATAGGACAAGTGGGAATGGTTGTAAACTAAAAGAGGGCAGATTTCGATTAGATATTAGGAAGAAATTCTTCACCATGAGGGTGGTGAAACACTGGCAGAGGTTGCCCAGAGAAACTGTGGCTGCCCCCTCCCTGGAAGTGTTCAGGGCCAGGTTGGATGGAGCTCTGAGCACCCTGGTTTAGTGGAAGATGTCCCTGCTCATGGCAGGGGGGTTGGAACCAGGTGATCTTTGAGGTCCCTTCCAACCCAAACCATTCTATGATTCTATGAATAAACTTCTTTCTATAAAGGTGATCTGCTGAAAGGAATAGAATCTCTGTTGATGGGCAAGCTATTAATCTGCAAGCAGCTGCAGCCTTGAGGACAATTGATTACCTGAAAATAGGTGGAAGATAACACATGCGAAGTCTGACCTTTCTTGAAAGTCCTCATCAGAGATCTAGAGCACACCTTAACCCTGATTCAGCACTAAGTCCCTCAGAGATGCTAGTTGGCAGGAGGAAAGGCTCTCTGCTTATAATGTGTGCCAAACGCCTGTGAAAAGCATTAAGAAGCAGCAGCAAGGAAGCATTCTTACAAGCTTTTGTTGCTTAGGCGCATAACTGTTCTGGTTTTGGCTGCAGCCGGCAACAAAAGTGCCACGCGGCCGCCCCTCCCCCCGCCAGGGTGCGGAGGAGAATGGAAAGAAAGAGGCAGAAACTGGTGGGTCGGGATAAGGGCAGTTTAACAGAACAGCAAACAGAGGGAACAGAAACAACAACGATACAGAAAAAGGGGAATACACAAAACAAACCTGCAGAACAGACCCGCTCTCTCGGACCGCACCGCCGCTGAGCCCTCCCAAGCCGCGAGTGAGTTCCCACCGCGCCGCCCCCCCCACTGGAACCCAGCATGACGGCACATGGTATGGAATACCTGGCTCTCTTTGGCCATTTTGGGATTGGGTCAGCCCACCCAGCTGTGCCCCTTCCTGGATTCTGG